GGCCTTAAAATCAATCAAAGTAGTTTTGAATATATTCTGTAGTTCACGAGGATCTACTAAAATGGTAAAATAGAGACTGAAGAGAAGTGAGTTTTCACAGAGTGATGATAGTAGCACTGTGAGGCCATTAGTGTGTTATTTTAATATTATAGGTATAAAATGATGAAAGTTTGACCTAAGGCCTTGGAGGGTGATGGAGAAGTATTGATTAAGTTGTCAGGTAGAATTATGAAACTTTGGTAACAGAGTATACATGATTGATGACAGATTGAACAGGGTAAGTGGTGTGTTCCATAACATTGTCTGTAGATTTTCTACATAAGAATCAAATGAGGTAGGGACTTTTGGACTGGCAAAATGTTGGACTCTCTCTCTAACAAAAGGAGAGAAGCTGGTAGACTCTCTCTGCAAGAAAACAAACACTTTGCTAGTGAAACTTACAGAGAACAATAAATAATGTGGAGTCTCCAGAAATTGTCCTAGGGCATAGAGAAAATAGAGAAATGATCATTTAAGAAAATCTACTAAATTTTAAGAACAGTGAGTCTAGCATTTAAGCCACTCCGTATCCCATGTCTCCTTTCCCTGCCGCCCCCCCCCCCCCCAGCTCCATATTCTAGAAACCCTTTTCTACTCTACTGTGGATACTCTGCTCTAGGAACGTATGGTCAGGAAGATAGGAATTCTTCCTTTCTGCACAGCTTCCAGTCTAGGGTTGTGGTCTCAGGTTTTACCTTGGAAGGGTATGGACTTAAGTGTTGAAGAAATTCTATTCTAGATGAGCACCAAGGAAATGAAGAGGCTATCTTTCCCCATTCCACACCTACTTACAAGGCAGAGGTTCCACTTACATAAGGTATTCAAAGCAGTCAAACTCAATGAAACAGAGAATGGTGGTTGCTAGAGTTTGGGCAGGAAGTAAATGTGGAGTTGCTGTTCAATGGGTATTTAGTTTCAGTTGTGTAAGATTAATTATTTCAGGAGATCTTCTGTGTAACAGTATACCTCTGGGTAACAATACTATATCATGCACTTAAAAATGTGTCACGAGGGTGCTTCTCATGTCAAGTGTTCTTATCATAGTAATTACTACTACTACTACTACTACTACTAGTACTAATAACCAACAACAACCACAACTCTACTCCAGACAGGGCAGGCTAAGAACACTAGGGATCCCCCTCAGCATCCCTATCCTCCAACTTAGTTCGAGTGGAAGTTCATGGCAGAAGGGGCAAGTTGAGATGAACAGGACCTTTGCTCCCCTAGTGCCCGCTCATACAGCAGGGATGTCACTGGGAGAAATAGGCTGCCGCCTCTGACCTCAGCTCCTATGCAGTGGTACTCAGGTTCTGCACAGAAGGACAGGCATACTATAAATATGAAGAGCTCCATAACTCTACCTGAGGAGGCATGGCTTTATGTGGAATGGAGCTTGGAGAGTTCCATTTAAAATTCATTGTCAGAAACAATGGAGCTCTTGGTGAAGAGCAATTAAGAAGGCCCTCATAGCATCACTATACAGATATCAACAAATCACATTGTATGGCACACAGAAGTTTAAAGGATAGAAGCAAAGTGAGAGACACAAGAGAAACTCTACTGGGATCACAATCAACCCATGGGGATAAAGGAGGCTGTGTACATGCAATGGCTGCATCCACTTAGGAGAACTCAGACAAAGGTATGGAGCAGAAATGAAAACATTCTGTAAGCCACACACAGATCTATTAACAAAGGGTGGAAACTTCAGTGAAACAAGAAGGTTGAGCACAACCTCTAACCCAATATTGTCTGAAAAATAAGCAACACCATACCAAGGGCAACTCCTAGGAAGCCAAGCTTTTAAAAAAGTCACACAAATTCCTGTTAATCTGGAAGACGGTGTGAGTGCCCAAGTCTGTGCACCTCTCAGGAAACACTGGAGAGGGAGCATTCAGCTATTAGTCCCTGACTAAATGTGGGGCAAAATATAATCTCTTTGAACTGTGAGAGCAGCCTCTAAGCCACACTCATGACTACTAGCAAAGGATAACATTCTACCTGGCCTAGGAGACTTAGGCAAAACCAGACCAATAAGTAGCTTATGATGTCCCAAAGGTAACCAAGCTGCAAGGTTAAAAACAAGGACAAAACCTGAGCAGGATCATCAGAGGCAACACACTGCAGGGGCAATAAACTTCAGGGTTCCTTCAGCCAAGGAACTAGACACCCAACCAATCAGACAATTTCAAGAACATCAACATTGGAGACAAGAGGGATCAGCAACCAGAGTTGCTAAGATACATTATAAAAAAATGTCCAATTTTAAGCAAAACTGATGAGACATGTGAAGAAAAACACAATTATGCCCCATATATGAAATAAAAGATCAATAGAAAAATGCTTTTGCAGGGACCCAGATATTGCATCTCTCAGAAAAAAAAAATTTAAAGTAGCTATTATAAATACATTCTGAGAACTAAAGGAAAGCATGTCTAAAGAAGTAGCGGAAGGTATGACAATATCTCATCAAGTAGAGGGTATCAAAAAAGATATAGAAAAAATTTTTAATGGGGATTCTGGAGTTGCAGAGTACAATAACTCAAATGCAGAAATCACTAGAGAGATGACCCATAGACAGGAGCAGTCAAAGAAAGAAGCAGTGAAGTTGAAGATATATCTATAGCAATTATGCAATCTCAAGAACAGATAGTAAAAAAGAAAATGTGGAAAAGTCAACAGAACCTCAGAAGAATGTGTGACACCATTAAGTGCACCAAATTATATGTAATAGGATGTAAATATTTGCTTCTAGATTGAATCATTAAGCTGAACGTGATCTTATTACTTCACATAGGGAGTGCAGGAAAAATAGCAGCTTTGGGAAGGTAGGTAATTAATTTGGTGTTTACATTTTAGGCTTGAGATGTCTTTGAGATACCCAGGGAACAGCTCAGCAGAAAGTTGAAAATGAAAATTTCACAGCTCAGAAATGAGGAGCAGAAAGGAGAAAATGATATTACTGTGGGTAAGTGTAAACAACAACTACCACCTTGAAAGCTGGATGAGCAAAAGAGGAAGAGACATTACCCAGAATCCCTAAATGCTGCTGGGAGGGTGCTGCCATTACTGATGTTGGAACCTCTATCCCATTACTGAGTAAGAATATGCACTTGCACTTGGTGAAGCTTTAGGGGTCTTGGACCCTTCAACCTTACTGATGCTGCTGAGCCCCACAAAGTATTCCTGGAGTCCATGGTTTCCTGATATTGCTGCTGCCAGAGCCCAAAGCAGAAGAATGTAAAGCTTCTGCCTTTTTCTTGCCTTCCAACATCATGTTAGTGTCTTCCACTGATAGAACCTGATAGAAATAAGTTTGCAAGGGAGTTCAGGAAAAGTAATTTTCAGGCTTGTGGCTATGTACTAAAGAGAGAGGACTATAGAAAAGCTAATATGGGGCAGAGAGTCACCAGAGAAATATTCTGAATCATCTTCCCATTTTGTTGCTTAGACTCCATGCACACCACTCCACCTGTATTTAAATTTCCAATAGAAAATAATTGCTTCAGCTGAAAGATTCATTTGTCCTGCATACAAATTAAGACATTCTCCCCTTTTACTCCAAATGGCAAGCTAGAAGTTCTCATAGCTTCCTATATCCATCTCAGTGTTGTTTGGGATTTCCCCTAGTTTAGTCATAATCCCATAGGAATATTCCATAGCCTAGAGACTAAATGGTAAAGTTAATCACCAGCATCTTCTTGGTGAGGAAAAATAAAGGAAAAAAAGGAATTTGAAATTTCTTTATAAACACACAGTTACCCTAATACATAATTCAGGAGGAAAATATTCTTAATTTCTACAATCATCATTTTATTACTAATGGGTCATGAGACTCAGTCATCCACGGCTGTCTTCTTATACTGCCAATTGCTTTCTTCTTTTCTCTTCATCTAATAAGTCTGATGATGATGATACTTAACTTGGTGGAGTGTATCAAATTTAAAATTTTATTGGGTTATGTCATTCTCATTTATTTTACTTAAAATATATGCATTTACTTTAAATATAATAAATGTGCAATATTATGTTAGTTTCATGTGTACAATAAATTGATTCAGCAGTTTTATACAGTACTCAATGTTCATCAGGATAAGTGTAGTCACTGTCACCATAGAATGTTATCTTTGTGCACTGTTGATGGGAATGTAAATTGATGCAGTCAATGTGGAAAACATTTTCATTTACTTTTATTACTTGAAATGAAAATATTATGAGACACCACAGAGAATCACTTGAGTCTCATACGTTATCTTCCCTACCCTTTTGAGGAATATTAATCTTAGTGTTGATTAACACCTTGATTATTGGGATCACTGTTTTCAGATAACTTAATATGCTTTTCTATTAAATCAGAGGTATGAGGCACTGAAATGGCTGGTGACTTTTTATTTTCAGATCAATGGGAATTTTTTTTTTTTTTTGCCCTTGTTGGAGTTATTTATTGAGAACATGTGAAGGAGGGGACAAGAAATACATTTATGAAAGTTATTAAAATTTAGATAAAAATCTATTATAAAAGCATAGATTTTGAAGTTAGAGTTTGGATCTGATTTTTGGTCTAGTACTTGGAATTTCTGTGACAATCATTAAATTTTATAATGCTGAGTTTTCCACTGAGAATAATAATATGCCCTATTTTCATCATTGTGAAGTGAAGAGAAAATACATGCTAAGTGCCTCATCTGTGGTTAAAACTCAATAAATAGTTATTTCGAATCTCATTTAGTTTTCAAAAACCTGAAAATTACAACATACCTGAATGGGATTATATTGGAAAGGTTTGTGTTTGGATACATAATTCAGGATGTTTTATTGCATATAGATGTTGTGTAGGGAAGGATTGCCAGTTCTCAAGATGTGGCTTATATTTCATACAAAATCGTATACCTCAGTGTCTTCGGATGATGGTGGTGGCAACAATGACCATGATGTATTTCATGATTGTAATGTTTCAGTTAAAAGGTCGATCTGGGACTCACATGCTTCTTCTTTATTTTTCTTATTGCTTTTCTCATGTCTTTATTCCTGAATGTGTAGATGATTGGATTTAAAAGGGGAGTAAAAATGGTGTAAAACACAGAAAGGATCTTATCTATGGAGATCTTGCTGAATGGCCATATGTAGATAAAGATGCAAGGTCCAAAGAACAGCACCACCACTATAATGTGGGTTGAGAGAGTGGACAAAGCCTTGGAAGACCTGGTGGAGGAGCGACGCTGGACGGTAATTAGAATGATGCTATAGGAGATGAACAGAAAGGTGAAACAGAACAAAGCGAGTAGTCCACTGAATGCAATGACCAATAGCTCCAGGATGTAAGTGTCAGTGCAGGCAAGTCTGATGACCCGAGGCAGATCACAAAAAAAACTATCCACAACATTGGGACCACAGAATGGTAAAGTCATTGTGAACACCATTTGGCTCATAGTGTGTACAAAACCAGTGGTCCAGGAAAAAAGTGCAAGTCCAATGCAAACATGATGGTTCATGACATTTTTGTAATGGAGAGGTTTGCAAATAGCAATGAATCTATCAATTGCCATGGCTACAAGCAACATCATCTCACTTCCACCTAAAAGGTGAAGGAAGAACATCTGGGCCATGCAGCCTTTATAGGAGATAGCCTTATATTCACTAATTAGGTTACAGATCATTTTAGGAGTAGCAAAGGAGGCCAGGGACATATCAATAAAGGAGAGGTTGGCCAGCAGGAAGTACATGGGAGAGTGTAATTGAGGGTCCAGTTTTACTACAAAGATAATCATGAGGTTACCTAACACAGTGACTACATAGATAATGGAAAAAAACAAAAATAAGCAAAGCTGTAACTCACGAAACTCTGTGAGGCCCAGCAAAATAAACTCAGACACCATGGAATGATTTTGTTTCTCCATTTGTTTGGTTGTTGGCATATGGTACCTAAAAGCAAAAACAAAGTGAATTAAAGTCTATGAGTTAAAATTGAGAGATATAATACATATTCACTTAACTTTGCTTCCCATCATCTACTGAAATGTGCAAAAAAAATCAAGTGTTGAACAACACTGAATCCAGATTTTTTAAAAAGAATAAATATAATTTCTTAGCAATGGTTACGAGGAGTTTCTGCCATAAACCAAGATGTTTGAAGAAAATTGAAGCCAGCAATACGTAACTCATATCTGCACTGATCTTAAGAAAAGTGAGTATCTTGGGGCGCCTGGGTGGCGCAGTCGGTTGGGCGTCCGACTTCAGCCAGGTCACGATCTCGCGGTCCGTGAGTTCGAGCCCCGCGTTGGGCTCTGGGCTGATGGCTCAGAGCTTGGAGCCTGTTTCCGATTCTGTCTCCCTCTCTCTCTGCCCCTCCCCCGTTCATGCTCTGTCTCTCTCTGTCCCAAAAATAAATAAATGTTGAAAAAAAAAATTAAAAAAAAAAAAAAAAAGAAAAGTGAGTATCTGAGTTGGTGAGAGAATTTAGAGATTTTTTGCCTCCTTTTTAGAATATTTGGTATAGATTTGTTGGTCTCCATAGGAAAAGAAGAGGATGCTTCCATCTCAAAATCTATTTCCACAATGCATAATAGTAAGGGGCATATCAGTGAAGGAGAGTCCAGCTGTTTTCTAACTGAGAGACAGGACTAAAAACAATGAAATTAAGTAGATGGAATATAGAACATTGAGAATCTAAGAGTCAGTTCGCAAGCTGTTGCTGAAAGTCAGATGAGCAGCAGCAGTATAAACCCTAGGAGTTTTAGACATTTGAGTCTATGGTTGGCCACATGGAGATGGCTTCTCACCTTCTTTTTTCTGTAAGGTGGAAGAAAGCCTCAGATATGTGGGTCTTCTCCAAAGCACTCTGACTTTACCTCTGGGCCTATGAATTGAGTAGATTGGAAGGTACAGTGCTTAGATATGGCACAAATGGATGCTTGCTGCTGGCTTCGCACTGCCTCACTTAATTTATTTTCTCTGTCAAGTGGCTAAATGTCCTAACAGATTTAGTATAACACCCATATCATTTATATATGGATGGTATAATTGTAGAGCTCTGATAAGCAAAAGGGGATCTGTAGGGAATACATCTATGTGGTTCTAGATGACATCCATGTAAACATGAATAATGCCAGCCATAATTTTTGAAGCAAGGTATCGAGGCAGATATATGATAGGTATCTACAAAAAGATAGTAGTAACAGAACAATTTTTTTGAGGCTTGAGAAAAATGTGACATCTGAAAAAAATGAAAAAAAGTGGGGAAAAAAAAAAACCCACAAAAGAGTTTATATCTGACTGAGACCTCATTCATAGAAAAAGACACAATTAGTTTTAAATATTTTGATATTTTAAATATTTTGAAATTTTTAAGAATTTGGATAGTATAAGAAAAACATAATTAAGATATTCATACTATTATTCAGAATTAACAAATATTTGTATTTTATAATTTTGTGTGTGGCTTAAAAAATGAAAAAATGATATCCTATCATAACAACATTTTGTGAATAAAAATTTTATTTTTACTGAGGAATTACTATTATTAAATGGTACAACCATCAGTTTGTTCTCAGCTTGTATTTATAGGTCTGATTCTACTTTTTGTTTCTTCATTTGTTTTGTTTTTAGATTCCACATATAAAAGAACATGCTGATGGTTGCCAGAGGGAAGGGAGTGGGAGGATGAGCAAAATGGGTGAAAGGGAGTGGGAGGCACAGGATCCCAGTCATGTAGTGAATAAGTCAAGGGTAATAAAAGGTCAGCACAGGGAATATAGTCAATGGGATTGTAATAAGGTTGTATGGTGACAGATGGTAGCTACACTTGAGGTGAGCTTAGCATAACGTATAGATTTGTGGAATCACTATGTTGCACACCTGAAACTAAAGTAATATTGTGTGTCAACTACACTTAAGTTTTTAAAAATGGTGCAATTAATGTATATCTATATGTTTATTTACATGTGAAAGACTTTTTCAAGATTAAATAACTAGAAGTAGAATTACTAGGTCATTTTCAACTAATCTAATAATGTCAAATTCTCAACAGAGGGTTGTACAAATTTACACAGATACTTCCCTACAAATCTTGGTATTTTGTTAACTCTCATTCCAACTACTATTTTTTGTTGGAATTAAAAAATGGTTCAGTATTAGAAAACTCTAATTAACAATATTGAAGAGATAGGTAGACAACATAATTTTAGTTGACAACAAAATACCCATTAATAAAAAGATATATTAGGTTCATGAATTGTAAATATGCCAATTCTTAATTTTAAAAAATTTTAATATTTATTTATTTTGAGAGTGAGAGAGAGAGAGAGAGAGAGTGCAAGCAAGGGAGGGGCAGAGAGAGAGGCAGAAAGAATCCCAAGCAGGCTCCACACTGCCAGCACAGAGCAGACGTGGGGCTTGAACTCACAAACCATGAGATCATGACCTGAGCAGACATCAGAGTCAGATGCTTAACCAACTTAGCCACCCACGTGCCCCTATGCCAATTATCTTTAAATTCATGTGTATATTCAACATAGTCCCTATGTCAATCCAAGGTGAGTTTTGGAAATCCACAAGTTTATTCTGAAATGTATATTGAAATACAAAAGGCCAAGATGAGCCAAGGCAATTTAAAAAAAAAAAATTTTAATGTTTATTTACTTTTGAGACAGAGAGAGACAGAGTATGAATGGGGGAGGGTAAGAGAGAGAGGGAGACACAGATTCCGAAGCAGGCTCCAGGCTCGGAGCTGTCAGCACAGAGCCGGATGTGGGGCTTGAACTCACAGACGGTGAGATCATGATCTGAGCTGAAGTCAGACACTTAACTGACAGAGCCACACAGGTGCCCCAAGCCAAGGCAATTTTGAAGAACACAGCTAGATGATTTATACTATCATATGTCAGGGACTACTTTGAGCTATATAATAGAGTTTGATGTTGGCTCAAAAACCTAAAATTAAGCCAATGAAACTGAAAATAGTAGAAAAGCTCTACTTGATGATGACAGCAACAAACAATATAGTAAAAGACATTTCTGGAGAGGCAAACAGAATTATTCAATGGTAAGCCAGGAGGGTTGTACTGTAAGAAGTTAACTGGTGCTGATGGCCCTTCTTTAGAAAAAGAAGCTCTTCCTGATGTCAGAATTCCACACTATCAATAAATGCCAGCAGTTGGCTTTATAATATTCTCCTGAAAAGCTAACTTCAAAATTCGTATTGCTTACCTTCTGACGTTTGACATTTTAATCTTTTCTCCTGAGTTTGTTCTCAGGTTTGCCTGATTAAAACACAGAGGAGGGAGCAGGTGAGATCACCTTCCTAGGCCCCATTACAAGGCTGTATGCAACAGTGACCCAGCCTCTGTCCACTTCTCCATTAAATGAAAGAAGGAGGAACCTTGCCAGATTTTTACTTATTAAGTTTTCCTATGAAATCTTGCATTTTTAACATGTGAGTCTGCCATGTGAGATTGTGGTGTTTACCTTCATGCACTACTTACTGTGCAATATTATAGACTTACAGCATTTCAAAGAATGAGAACCCAACACAGGAAGAAAAAGCAAAATACAACAGAAAGGCTTGTTCAGACCTACATATAAACTCATATGTAACTGTAATATATAACAGAAATAGATTTTGGGATAAGTAAGGAAAATATTCAGCAAATGCTAATGAGGCAACGAATTTGCAATCTGGGATTGGAGATCAGATTCCCAGACTGATTTTTCATTTGAAAATAAATTTCAGAGATGTTAAAGATTTATTTCCCTAAAAATATAACTTCTATGAAATGAAAAGCAAACACAGGTAAATATTTTAACATCATGGAGCTGATAAAACATTTTAGATAGGATGCAAAAACTAGAATCAGAGCTGACTTTCCGAGAGTGAAAATAAAAAAAAGTGAACATACAATAAGAGATGAGAATATATTTTCAACAAATGTGGCAAAGAGCTGTTAGCCCTGATTAATAAGAAAAGGTTAAAGAAAGAGTGGAAAAGTGGAGAAATCATCTGGATTGGCAATTCATAGAAGTAGAACTATAAATATCCTTAAACACAAAAGTGTTCGACCTTATTGATAATTAAAGAAATGCAAGTAAAAGTAACAAACGAATGGGAGTTTAAGAATTCCTTTACACCACTTTTTGTATTTTGGCATGATATTCTTTTGGAGAAATTTGGTACTAAATTTTTTATTTGAGTTTTGTCACATTTTTATTCTTTAAAAAAATTTTTTTAAATGTTTATTTATTTTTGAGACAATGCGAGACACAGAGTACAAGCAGGGGAGGGGCAGACAGAAGGAGACGCAGAATCTGAAGCAAGATCCAGGCTCTGAGCTGTCATGTCAGCCCAGAGCCCGATGTGGGGCTCAAACTCACGGACTATGAGATCATGATCTGAGCCGAAGTTGGACGCCCAACCAACTGAGCCACCCAGGTGCCCCAAGTTTTGCCACATTTTTAAAAAGAACCTTCAGTTCTGTGATTTTTAGTGTTAAGTTTCCAAAGAAAAATGGATGAGTGTTCATTATCCTATTGTCTTTAATAACCTAAAATTGGACAGCTCCTCCAATACCCATCATTAATGGCATGACTTAAAATAGAAATCTAGGTTCTTCAGTCAGTTAAGTGTCCGACTCTTGGTTTAGACTCAGGTCACAATCACACGGTTTGTGAGTTGGAGCCCTACATCAGGCTCCTCACTGCAGGTGTGGAGTCTGCTTGAGATTCTCTGTCTCCTTCTGTCTCTGCCACTTCCCCTGCTTGCATGCTCTCTCTGTCAAAAATAAATAATAAACTTAAAAAAATGGAAATCTATACGTGGTCTTATAGAAAAATGTATTAGATATATTATTAAATTTTAAAATGTCATTATATTTTGAGTAGATTATTGTAGCACGTTGTGGAACATTATGCACCTATATACAAA